TGATATAAACTAGACAAATTACCTAATTATGCAATATTACTATCTTGGACCCTCAAGGAAAAGCTGATAAATACAGTAATACAGTATTTTTCACAAAGTGCTACCATTTTTACTTTGATTGACGTTGAAGTCACTACCCTTTTTCTTCCAACTCTGTAAACAATAGGACACAACCATGTTCATGTTTTTGAGTACATGAAAGAAAAAATGAATCGTGTGTAAGCTACATGGTTGGCCATCTTATCTCAGTGCAGTTCCAAGTTTACTGGAAAGCAACCACATAAAGGCTTGGGAAGAGATGTGGTACTCACAGACAGTCCATGAAAAGGACTGGCTGACACAGTGTGACACAGGGCCGGATGCACACTATAAGCCTTAAGTGAATGTGGAGTGGATGAAATAGAACAGACTTCTCTCCCCATGGTATGCTTTTTGAAATACTACAACAGACAGCTGTTGTAGTACACATGATGGAAGGTTGTCACTTTAATGACAATAAAATGTTACTTGTTAGAAATACTGCAATTTTGATTTTTTTCAAACTTCTACCTAAGTATATTAGAACTGATTATGTCCATACATGTAAGACACTGAAAGAAATCAACAAATTGGATGATTTGCCTAAAATGTATTTCACTTAACTATTCAAACCTCCAGTTTGAGGTTATAAATAGTTTGAAGACACATATAGGAAAACAAGATGTGAACAGAAGTACACATTACTTTCTTTGAAATTTGCATCTATACTGAAAAATAGGGAAAAGAAAATAAATCTCTGTGCATGTGTTTTATATAATGATACTCCAGAGAACACATCAAACAATATAGTTTATGTGCAAAATTTTAAAATTACTTTAAAATTCCTAAATGCATTGTTATTTCTTATGAACATAAACTTCCAAATATAAATACTAAACATGAATAATTCGCACGTGTTATTTATGTTTTTTCAAAACCTTACCATGTGTAAACCCAAGAAGGGAGAGTATTTTATTCTGTTAGTTTTATCAGTATTGGAGAAATAACAGAAAGGTGTCTATATAGTGAGGTTTCTTTGGAGAAAGAGAGTGATTCATTTTTAATCTATTTTCTAAATGAACAGCTTGCTTTCTGGTTTTTTATGTATTTATTAAATTAAAATTAAATTAATGAAAGCCATAAAAAATAATAAAGGCACATTTTATTTCCTCTTTATAAACCATAATAAGCTTATATTCTTGTATCTTTCTAAAATGTTTCTTGGGGGGGTTATATCCATTTCAGTCTGCCTAATACTCATTCAAATGCCAATCCAAATAGGTACGCATATACTTATGCATAAATATCAAATTTTACGTCATGTTACTACTTGTATAGAAAACTATATCTATTGTTTCATATTTTAAACACATACCTGTGGAATCACAAATGATGTCATGTGGTTGAGCTGGTGAGAACAGATTAAGGATCTGATACAAGGATTTCAATGTGCACAGTTTTGAGGTTTTATTTTACATTTAATATTTTACCTTCTATTTTATCATGATATATTTTCTTGTATACACAATATGTGAATAAAAATTGGTAAACCCCAATGAGAATATGTCACTTCTAACATGTGGAAAAGATATCCATTCCAATGTCATGGATAAAAAGAAATTTCTTTTCCACAGCCTTTAAATATAAATTTGCCTAATAACAGAAAAAATATATATCTTAACTATTTAAACCCCAAGGTACTATTATTTTTTGAGATGTTATGTTTATTTTATGTAGATATCTGTAATTCTTACTAATATATTTATACCAACATACAATTTATATTAAAATCCCATATAACAATGGGCTCTCAGCCAATGATTCTTGACTATTTGGCATTTGATATGACTGAGATAAAAGTTTAACATGAATAGTAGTTACATCTACGATGTTTTTTAAAAAACTAGATTTGTAAATAGATTCTAACATTAAGGGGGACAGGTTTAAATTAACATTACAATACTGGCTACCTTACATATTATCCTGAGTTTTAAAATAGAAGTGTTTTCACATCTGTGCCAAGAAATTATTTCTAGAACAAGCGAGAGTTTCCCTTTTTGAAAACTATATTTTAAACAACCAGTCTAACATGTGCATACTATAAAATGAAAATGATGTGTTTTCCATTTATATATAAACCAATATACATAAGGTGCTTGCTACCATATGGCATATTTATGTTTCATACCTTATTAAGACAATCATTTCCAAAAGAAAAACCGAACCTAGCAAAATAATTGTATCAAAATTCCTTTGTCTGAAAAAAAAAGTTATTTTAGTGTTGACTCTTAGAACAGTTTAACTACTAGTTTAATCCAGAAGAATATGCTATATGAGAATGAATGATAAAGCAGAGAGCAGAAAATTAAAGATATTTAGAATGATATATTTTTGTTGTATTATAAGGAACCTTAAGCCCTTAATATTACTGTAAACACTCTACTTAAAAATAAAAAATAAAAACTTTGAGTTACTAACTCTAATTCAGGTCTGACTCCAGTAAGCGCATAATTAATTTTATAATGTGTTGATAGCATCCTCTTCTGATAATCAAAACTCCTTACATTACCTTTTCTCTGTAAAATAAAATTGTCAAAAAAACAAAAGAATTTACTAATGATTTCCAGAGAAATCATTTATATATATATATATATGCATAATAATTAGCCTTTAATGAATGCTATAATCCTTATACTCAGTTTTTATAAACTTGAATTTTCCTCAAAGATTTGAGATTTATCCTGATAATTCACACTCCATATGAATTATTCTCTTGCAAGAAAAGCAAATGGAATCACATCTTCTTGGAAATAATGCTGCACTTTTATAAATGGTATAAATTTTATTCAGAAATCTAACAGTAATACAGATGTTAGCTATCATTTGTCCTCTCATCAGAAGATGGTGTTATTAACTTTTCAAATAAATAATTGAAGATGTAGAAGCCTTACAAAAATACTGTTAATATTATTTACAGGAGACTGACTTAGCTCTACAAAATCTTTCATTAAGCTCTCATTTCATGAAATAATGTTTCATATAATTTGAAGACATCTTCAATTTCCATTGTTAAAAAATGAATTTCAAATCCTTTCAAAAAAAAAGAAATTGTGGTTTCTTAATTCCTATTTTTGCACACTATTTATTTTCTTTCTTGTCTCTAATGAATTCCTGACCATGAAATTGAGTTATTTTAATTTTAGGAAATCATTTATTGTAGCTGTCCTTACAATAAAGATTTTTACATTAATATACCATGGTATGTTCAGGAATAAAAGGCTGTATTTTGTTACAGTTTAAAGTCACAGTTTTTCCCAATGGTGTGATGATGCATTTCCTCCAAATTATAGAAATATTGATAAATTGTCAATTAAAAATAGCTGCTTTAAAAATGTGTAAACTGAACACACTGACTCCTTTTTAAAGAGCCACTTTTTTATTTTACAAAAAAATGCAAGGGAATCACTTGAGTTCTCACTGTACAGGCCAAGCTAGAAAAAAGAGTAAAAACTTAAATAAAAGTATAATTTCTTAATAAGTGTAAGTAATTTTGAAGCATCTTTAGGGTAATTCTTACTCTTTTTATTATTCAAAATATCCGCTTGGAATATCCTGCCAATTAAGCGAAGATCTACAGATAACATTTACCCTTTCACTTCATAACAGAAAAAAAGATCTGCAGTCATTTTTATGGAAGATTACCTAAAAAGGAACATGACTGTAAATCAATGACAAAAAATATTAGACACTTTCCTTCTCTGGGTTAGAATGTGCATCCTTCAGATGCTTGCACTGACACCTAATGTAATAAATACCTTAAGCTGAATCTTAAATAATAGCTGCAGGGTTTCAACTGGTAAAGATTTACTCTTAGTATCATCCACCAAAAACTCCAGTATTCAGCACTCAGTCAACAAAGGACAGCAAATAATTCCCAACATCATAAATACCGGGAAGGCTACCTTGGGCTTTGTTTTTGTTATGTAAAATGCATTAAAGTGACTCATCCACTTAAGATTACCTACTCTCAGAAGCTTTAAAGTAGCTTCAAGAACCAAAATAAATGCTTTCCCAGAATGCCTGATAGGCTGGCTATTCAGCGCATTTAAAGAAATGTATGTATTTTTATGTGCCACCGACTGATTATTTTTTCCATCCTAAGAGAGGAATTATTATTTTTCATTCCCTTCCTGCCGTGTGACTACATAGACAGCTACCTTTAAACAGTCTATTTTCAGAATACCAGCGAGGTTTTCTAAGTTATTTCAGAAATGTTAAAAATAAAGAGAAAATTGCAGGAGACTCTGGAAACGCCGAGTTTCTCCCTCAAGGACTAGGTTCTATTCATTCTAAGAACAGGAACCGCGTTTCTTCCGGCACTTAGATGCTTCCAATGAAAGGTTCGGGGGGTTGAGATCGGGGTCCCAGGACCTGCGAGCCCTCGGGGTGGACGGCACTCTCCGCAGCTGGGAGCCAGCACGCTTCCGAGCGGAAAGGCTGGCCGGTGCGCCCGGTAATTTAGGATGGAAACGAGTTTGGACACCACAGCGATCAGAGAGCATCCCAGAGGCAAAGTGCGGGACAGTCCCGGCTGCCCCGCCAAGCCTGAAATGACCTATTTGTAAAACACCTAATCAAAACGCAACTTTTTATTACACTGGGTTGGATGAGAGCGGCTACCTGGCTGGAAACTTTTTTCCCCCCCGGTGCCTGTAAACTCTTTAAGTCTAAAGAGTCCTTGAAGAGATGGGCTGAGCCGCCGCGAGGGGTCGGCGGACGTTTCCCGGGACGGCTCGGCCGCGGCGCCAGCCCCTCGGAAACGCCGGCTCGGGGCGCATGCCGGCGGCAGCACGCGCGCACCTCCCGCTCGGCCTCCCCGGATCCAAGCCCGGCTCGCTCCCCACCCCCACGGGCAGCAACGCCTCGCGCCTCGGGAGCGGAGCCCCACGCCCCGCGCCCGCCCGGCCCGGCCGGCGACTTACGTGACTGCCGAAGGGAACGGCTCCTCCGACGAGGGGCCGATCAGCAAAGATTGGAAAAGTGTCAGAGTCAAGGCCAGCAGGCAGCCAGCAGCCATCTTCGCGATCGAAGATCAATCCCGCCTCCCTCCCCAGCCCGGGGGAAGGAACGGTGCTGGAAGCCGCGGGAAGAGGAGCAGGATCCCTCTCGGTCCGGACCGCAGACGTCTGGAGGGCCGGGGCGCGCCCGGGGTGCGGGGCGCACACGGGCGCGGAGGGCAGAGGGCGGCGGGGAAGGGGCGGCGGCAGGCGGACCCTCTAGCGCGTGTCGGCGGATCCGCGCCGCGCCTGCCTCGCCTGCGCCGCCATCAAGGGCGACTTTGGAAACAGACCTGGGCGAGCCCGCCGGCGCTCGAGCGCTTTCGCTCTCGCTCTCTCTCTCTCTCTCTC